TATTTAATATTTTCCTTTCTCCTTCAAAATTTCAGACATAACCACTCTTAAAATCACTTCTGTGTCAGATCAGATTCGGAATAACAATGAATATCATGATCTTTCAGCATGTCTATTTGCCATCAAATTCAGGACACATTCAGAAGTCTGAAAGAAACAGAAAAATTCAAATCATGTTTGATAGTTTGTTTTGTGATTGAAATAATGTCACTTCGGAAAACAAGCGTATTCGATGCTGTTTTAGGAATTTAACTCTAGCAACCTTGGTAACATCCAGTATTTCTAATTTTATCCATTTTCCTGGAGTCACTGTGGAAGCTTAAATATGACTCTTAAGAAATTTCATTTTAGTCCTGAACTTTTTATCATCAGGAGCACAAATAATGTTTAGAAAGCAGTCAAATCATGTATACAGTATTTGTTGTTCATTATTATTATTATTATTATTATTATTATTATTATTATTATTATTATTATTATTATTATTATTATTGTTGTTGTTGTTACTATTATTATTATTATTCAGAAAAAAGTAATAAATTTTATACATCTGATACATTTGGAATAATGCTTTGTAAGTCCTCTGTGGGCTAACAATCAAAAGTATTTGTATCCATTGATAAAAGAGTACATACAGATCATCACAAATGTTGTACATGTTTAGAGAAAAAAAAGGTAATGGTTTATTTATAAAGCTTTTATGATCAAGTGTATTTTCTCATAGTTTCAAGGCAGTTTTTATTTTGCTTTCATTGTTTGCTCAAATTATAATGTATTTGCTCCTATCCTAAACTATTGCCATTACAAGCGAAAAATTTGTTTGATTTTGATAGCACTGCAACATGCTCGATCAGTCTCAAGTTTGGCACATCAACTATTGAGCAACTGCAGCTATTTTATGTGAACAACAAGCCAAAAATATATGATTTCACGACAAAAGTATATCTGATGTGACTTTATCTGCAATAAAAATGCTTAGATCTAATTTGTTGTGCCCATTGTGTAAATAAACAAATTCTTCAAATTAAACTTCATAAAAGAAATACATATTCTTCAACTTAAAATTACAATTTTTGTTTTGACTAAAATATATTATAGTAATATATTTTTAGATTGTGATGTGTCATAAATTAAATTTGAATTTGTTTTTCAAGATCTGTAGAGTCTCAGACTTCAAGGATTGTTTGGTTTGCATTTTTTGTGTGCAAATTTACATTTTATTCATTTTTGATAAATCCATGAATTTTGATACAATACTAGAACTGTGATATCTTTCCAATTACTTACATAAATTGATTTTTACTTTTATAAAAATATTTTTTTAGATGTGTATGTTGTATTTATTGTTGACCCCATTTTTATACATGAATAAAATCATTTTTATAAATGTTCATGATACTCTGACTCATTTATCTCCCTTAGATTCTAAATCACTATGAACAGTAAACATCTTGGTTACTTTAGACATCAAAATGCTGTAGGAATTTACCATTACTCTCAAAGTCCTTTTTTATATTGGACAGTTGCCCACAAAGAATCAAACTAATAGAAAAAACAGACACTCTGAATCACATAAACAATTTGCTAGTTCTATCACAACAGTCGTAAACTGAATTTCACTATTGAAGTCATCCTAGTTAACACATTAGCCTTCAGAAAGCGGAAAGCTGCTTTTATCAAGCAAAGTGAATTCATTCACCTTAAAGTGGATCAGTATTTTGTGGTTCAGAAATAAATGACCTTTTCCTCAGTTCAATAATTGATGATACAAGTTATGCTATCATCTTAAATCATTGCTTTTTGGGTTTTGAAATTTGTGGTTCATTGCAAGCACAGATTCCATATAAATTGTTGCCTCCTTAATTAAAGTGAATCTATAACAATGCATGTGTTACACAGATTTACCAGGATGGCATTAATACCAATAATGGCACACATTCAAACAATGCATATGATACACAGGTTTCACTAGGATAGCACTCAATCAAATAATGAATGCAATACCAAATTTTACCAAAATGGCACTCGATCAAATAATGCTTGTGATACACAGATTTTACCAGAATGGCACTCATTCAAATACTGTGTGTGCTAAGAGGTTTTACCAGAATGGCACTTATCAAATAATGCATGTGAAACATGGATTGGTTTTGCTAGAATGGCACTTATCAAATAATGCATGTGAAACATGGATTGGTTTTGCTAGAATGGCACTTATCAAATAATGCATGTGAAACATGGATTGGTTTTGCTAGAATGGCACTTATCAAATAATGCATGTGAAACATGGATTGGTTTTGCTAGAATGGCACTTATCAAATAATGCATGTGAAACATGGATTGGTTTTGCTAGAATGGCACTTATCAAATAATGCATGTGAAACATGGATTGGTTTTGCTAGAATGGCACTTATCAAATAATGCATGTGAAACATGGATTGGTTTTGCTAGAATGGCACTTGCTTAGATAATTAATGTGATAACTCGGCACTCATTCAAATAATGCAGGTGATAACACAGTTTACCACATTGAGACTTAATCAAATAATGCAGGTGATAACACAGTTAACCACATTGAGACTTAATCAAATAATGCAGGTGATAACACAGTTTACCACATTGAGACTTAATCAAATAATGCAGGTGATAACACAGTTTACCACATTGAGACTTAATCAAATAATGCAGGTGATAACACAGTTTACCACATTGAGACTTAATCAAATAATGCAGGTGATAACACAGTTTACCACATTGAGACTTAATCAAATAATGCAGGTGATAACACAGTTTACCACATTGAGACTTAATCAAATAATGCAGGTGATAACACAGTTTACCACATTGAGACTTAATCAAATAATGCAGGCGTTATACAGATTTCACCTGAATAGAACTCATGCTAACTGCTCCTGTGGCCTGAATGACACAATAGGGAAAGAATATCGTTTCTGCCACTGACCAAAGATAAACTTTCCATGTGATTTTGAAGAATCTCATTGAGATACACATTGTTGTTGCTGACAATGCAGACCAGGAGAGAGAGAGAGAGAAGGGGGGGAACACGGTTGATAATCTTACAGAAAGTCCATAGACGTATATTGAGGTCAAATGGGAGAACAAAATAACATTGGTACATCATTCCATTGACACCAAACCAAAGAAACTTAAAAGCATACATCAGTTAAGTCTAAATTAACTGCAAATTCTTTTCTTTTGACAACAGCCTTATTGGTCTTTCCATCTTCATTTAGTTTCTTGCTTTAGTTATGTATTTGTAAAGCCGATTGGAGTATATGATTGGTCTGAGATTCACATTGGTCTTAGGTACTAGAAACAGCCTTTAGTAAAACCTGTGAGTTTGGCTTGTGAACTTTCTTCAGCGCTTGTTTGTCGAGTTGCAACTAGATCTCCTTCTGTAACATTTCTGCATTCTCCAGATCAGATTGTAAATACATCATGGAAGGAAATGTCAAAAGGATTGGGATTTGGATAAATGAAATCCTAAGCCCCACCAAAACAACTTGAATCACCTATTCGTTCTCGGGAAATATGTTGTCTCCATACACTTGGGGTGGCAAGCCAACTTCAGCTGTTAGGATGCCTGAAGAAGCCATTTCTCAGCACACAATACATTATTAATGGTGGCAAGTATACATAATTGATAGAGAACCTAGGAAGAATCTTTGACTTTTTCACATACCCACATTGGTGTAGCTGAGACTCAAACTCATGCTTACAGATATGAGATGTGAGAGATCTGTAAAGGCAAGCACCTTAGACCACTTGGCTATCCGTGACCCTAAGGAGAACCTTGCTTCTATTCTCCTTTATTTTAAAGTCTTCAGACTTAAAGGGCCTGCTGCCTTCAGTTGGAATGAAGATGAAATTGTTGACATTGAGCTTCAGTCTGCCTCATCCTTTTGTCGGCATTTGTCTTTCGCTGCGATTCAGACTGACTCGGCCTGAATGTACGTGCAGACGGCAATGCTAGTTTAAGGGTCAGTTATCGATTATGTACTTCCTTAACTTTTCTACCAAACAGTAACAATAAGCCAAAAGGTGCTGACTGCCAGGCAAAGGCATGGTGCAGTTATGTGGAGGACAAGCAGAAGCAGGCATCGCATCGCAAAAGATCCAGGTTAGCCGAAGTTGTCAGGGTGTTAGCCATTGTGTGATACATGGCCATTTTAATCACTTAGGCAATGTGGTCTGTGAATTCTCACGCATGATCGCTACCTACTTATTTGATAAACAAAATACTTGCCAGTGAAGCCAAAACAAGCATCGAGGAAGTAGCTAAATGTTTTACATTAAATATCAATAGTTTTAAGCTAAGCAACATAGAAACGTATGTTTGTATGGCAGGGAGGTTGATTGGATAAGTATTCGCAAAGAATCATAATTTACTGAAAGAGTTGCATTTATTTTTCAGACAGATACCCAGTTATGAAAATTGATTTGCTGAACAATCTACCTATACAGCGGATCTCTTTTAAGGAAAGACTGGATTACCAATAAGGAAGACAACCAGATCTTCTAATTTACTTAAAAATTGCACAGCCAACGATCACAAGATCCATGACAAATATAACAGCTAAGAAGTTTATTGAGCTCTTCTAACCAACAAGCTTTTTATGGTCGAAACCAGTGAAGGCACTATAATGTGTACATGAGGAGGCTTTGCTGATGTCAACTTGGTTTGGTGGTCATCTGGCCAGGACCTACTACCCACCAGATTCAATTCTTGTTTCTGTGAAGCGGTGGGTGATTTAGATCTTGAATGTAGCTTTAACAATTGTTCAGTAATATTGCTATGATGTCTGTAGTGTGGCAGTTTATAGTGATGTCTAGCATTGGGGCATCATGCCGCAGACGTGTAGCATGATGTCCCACCCAGTCATTATCTTGACACCAGGTCGACCAGTCCTAACACTAACCTCTTAATGCTGAGCACCAAGCGAGGCAGCTGTTAGTACCATTTTTGTAAGTCTTTGGTATGACCTGGCCAGGGATCGAACCCACAACCTCCTGCATATGATGCAGACGGTCTAACCACTAGGCCACCGGAGCGGTTGTCTCTGCAAAGCTAACTCCCAGAGAAGGTTGACAGTGCACACCAACCAACATCTTCTATAATGTCTCGGATCATTATGTTGCATTCGAAAGCGAGGTTCATAGAGATTGCTCTGATATCATGAGACTAAATCTTTATGATGGTAGTCTTATTTATTTATACTTAAAGAGTACACCAAACGATTAACGCACTTTCACTACCATGATAGGGTTTGAGGGGTGATATCATTTTTCCCCGACATTCACCAGGAGAATGAGTCGTTTTCTTGTTCCACGACTTTTTTGTGCTTCATGTGTTGACTGAAGATTGCACACGGGATCTTGCATGGAAGCTTCTTCGGACATATCTATTGAAGAGATGATAGAGCTTAAGGCAACTTCAGATTGTATCAGCCTATTCTTGGCTACAAAGCCTTGTTGTGCCAATAAGACTGATAAGCCATCTTTTCTCCTCGTGCAGCCAGAGGAAAAACCAAACCAGTTGTGGGATTGACATTGCACTAGTCCCTTAATACACTCCATTTTCTCTCATACAACTTAAAAGTGAAACTCTCTTTTGCTTGCAAAATTCTCTCTACAACTGAACATTTAAAATTCTTTCCTTCAGTCTCTCCTGACAAAATCCAGGCATGAAGGGTCAGTCATGACAGGAATGAAATAGCTGTAACTGTGATTTCTGAGAAGATTGATTTGTCTGGCATTTTCCTGGAACAGATCTATTACCCTGAGTAGTTTGTTGACCCATGACCTATTCCCATTGAGAGCAGCTATCAGAATCAGCTTGTAGTTCTGACTCAACTTCTGTGTAGTACTCAGTACTAACACCGTGTGTGAATAAACAACCATCAATGAGTACATATAATACCAGGCTCGAGCACAAGGTCAGAAAACTAGTGAAGTCCACAACTGCAAAACATTCAAATAAATATCAACATATTTCACAAAATAATAATTCTAACATGTAGTAAATACCTTTAAATTCAACACAATGCCAATTTTATCAATGAATGGTTAATATGTTACAAGAATAACTTAGATTATGCAAGGTCTTAGATGTGATATATACTGTTTCAGTGAAAGCAAAAACTGATAAACAACATTAGCCACTTACTTGTAGTGAGGGAGGCAATGGAATGGTTGGAAAGAGTATTTCCCCCTTGTATATGTGAAATATGGCTGGGAAAAATGAATTTTTTCTTGACACAATTGTTGGCAAGTATAATAACCAATACCAGTAGATGGCAAGTATAAAACCCAATACATATTGATGAAAAGTATAAAAAGCAACATAAGCAGATGGCAAGTATAAAAACCAATAGATGTAGATGGCAAGTATAAAAATTAATACAAGTAGGTGGCAAGTATAAAAACCAATATAGGTAGATGGCAAGTATAAAAACCAATACAAGTGTATGTCAAGAATAAAATCCAATACAAATAGATGGCAAGTAAGAAAAAAAATACACTTGTATAAAAATCAATACAGGTTATTGGCAAGTATAAAAATCAATACAGGATGATGGCAAGTATAAAAATCAATACAGGTTGATGGCAAGTATAAAAATCAATACAGGTTGATGGCAAGTATAAAACCAATACTGATAAATGGCAAGTATGAAAACCAATACAAGTAGATGGCAAGTAAGAAAACCAATACACTTGTATAAAAATCAATACAGGTTGATGGCAAGTATAAAACCAATACTGATAAATGGCAAGTATGAAAACCAATACAAGTAGATGGCAAGTAAGAAAACCAATACACTTGTATAAAAATCAATACACAGGTTGATGGCAAGTATACAAACCAATACTGATAAATGGCAAGTATAAAAACCAATACAAGTAGATGGCAAGATTGAAAATCAATACACAAGTATGAAAACCAATATTAGTAGATGGCAAGTAAGGTAACCAACACACAAGTATAAAAACCATACAGGTAGATGGCAGGAATAAAAACCAATACAGGAGGTAGATGGCAAGTATAAATAATATATGTAGATGGCTAGTATGAAAATCAAAGCACAATTATAAAAACCAATACAAGTAAATAGCCAATAAGAAAACCAATACACATGTATAAAAGCCAATACATGTAGATGGCAATTATAAAAACCAATACAGGTAGATGGCAAATATAAAAACCAAAACAAGTAGATGGCAAGTACAAAAACCAACACAAGTAGATGGAAAGTATGAAAACCAATAAATGTAGATGGCAAGAATAAAAACCAATACAAATTCATGGCAAGCAATAATATACTTTATTGTACATGAGAAACCAGAGTACATTTATAAATCTACAGTGAATGAAGAAAAGGGTACTTTCAATTTTATACACCATAAAATCACATTTCTAAAATGAAATTATCATATAACCCTGGTTCACAAAAAATGGTATTCATGACATATATAATTGATAATTTGGAGTGAGTAAAGCTTGAAATTGATTTCAAACAACTTAAGAATACAAGTCCTTTTAACAAATGTGATATAAAGTATTTCTACATAAGTAATCAAAACAAATATCACACTTTAACTGAATACTGCATAATTGAGATAATAATGGTTTTGTATAAAAAAACAAACAATTGTAGATAAGGTTCTAGAGAAATAAGTACTCCTCAAGTTCATCTTATAACATTTTCAAAATATAATGAATTACATCCTAGTTCTGATGTAATAATAAATGGCATCTTGATTTGTGCAATGGATGTAAATTGTACACCTATGAACATACTTATGTACTCCTAGTTTTAAGTCTTGTTTCTATTGGAACCATGGTTTATGTATGTATGTATGTATGTATGTATGTATGTATGTATGTATGTATGTGTGTATGTGTGTGTGTGTGTGTGTGTGTGTGTGTGTGTGTGTGTATGTATGTATGTATGTATGTATGTATGTATGTATGTATGTATGTATGTATGTATGTATGTATGCATGCATGCATGTATGTATGTATGTATGTATGTATGTATGTATGTATGTATGTATGTTATATATGTAATGTATGTATGTTATATATGTATTTATTTATTATGTATATATATTATTCCAAAAATGCTGTTCATTGAAAATGTTCATCAAGAGTAATGAAGTTAATGAGAATAGTTGGTGACATCTCACCAAAACCTACATCAGGACTATAACCAAGTTAATGACAACAAACAGTTGGTGACATACATATCCCGAACCCCACCAAAAATGACATCAAGACTGTATCAAAGTTGGAAATACATACACAGAGACACGTACTACACGTACTCGATTGCAAGTCAAGTTGAACTGCAATCATGATCATACCCAGATCAGTTGACAGACCTGGGTTTATGAAGTATGTAAGGAATTATCAGTGGAACAAATAACAGGATCTGTTATTTGTAGTTGTACCTAACTGATAAGCAAGTATAAGTGGTAAATCCCTCAGCCCACCAAAACCTTCATAAAAACTGCAACCAAGTTAATGATAATTAGTTGATGTTGAGATCTTTTGCCCAAAAACATCTGCTAGTAATAATGATATGTCAAATACTTTATTTATAGGAAGTTCATTTTTCCCAGTGGAGGTGGTCAATATTATGAGTTTTGACTCAGAAATAAAGCTGTGAATAATGGATGACTGGAAGAACAAACTGAACAAAAGCATAAAATAATTTTTAAACTCATGAATTGAGAATGGTAAAAAGGCACTTCTAAACCACTGGTGTAAGTGTACAACATTTCTAAGAAATATCTTAAAAGGCTTTGAAGTTTTGCCACAGAAATGAATGTGAGGGTGGACTGAAGGACAAATGCACAAAACAATTAAAACTAAAGAATTATGAATAGGAAAAGGAAATTCTATACCATTGGTTAAACACATTAGCTGAGTTTCAATGAGATTATTTTAAAAAGCTTCAGAATTGTGCTCCAGAAATAAAAATGTGAATGATGGATGGAAGAACAAATGGATGAAAAGTATACAAACCCTACATACCCTATTGACAATCTAAATTGTCAATGGCCTAAGGCACACCTAGACCACTACTCTAAAATTTGTACTAAATTTCATAACAGCACCTTAAAAAGTTATACCCCAGAAAAGAAATTATGGATAATGAATTGACGTGAAAAGAATAAAAACAAGAATATTAAGAAAAGGATCTGAAAAACATTCATTTTGAGGTGAATTTTTTTGTGCCACAAGTATGTGTCAAAAAATATGTATGTTATTTATGCTTTATACAGATATGCCTGTCAAAATGATTCTTAATAAAGGACTTGTCGAAATGAACCAAACACAAAAACGTGAAAATAAAAAATGTACTAACTTTGATATCACCTTGATGATTAAAAAGATGCAAAAATGCATCTTAATAATCTGAAATATATTAAGTAAAACATACAAATAAAATTTCATTTACAAAAAAATGATATGCAAAAATAACACAATAATATATTATTTAAAAGACATAATCTTAATTTTGCCTCTTACAACTATGATAGATGTCATAATCTTAATGATCAATGTGATGTTCACCCATTACTATAGTTCCATACTGGGTACAAATGATCAATGCGATGTTCACCCATTACTATAGTTCCATACTGGGTACAAATGATCAATGCGATGTTCACCCATTACTATAGTTCCATACTGGGTACAAATGATCAATGCGATGTTCACCCATTACTATAGTTCCATACTGGGTACAAATGATCAATGTGATGTTCACCCATTACTATAATTCCAATCTGGTTACAAATGATCAATGTGATGTTCACCCATTACTATAATTCCAATCTGGGTACAAATGATCAATGTGATGTTCACCCATTACTATAATTCCAATCTGGGTACAAATGATCAATGTGATGTTCACCCATTACTATAATTCCAATCTGGTTACAAATGATCAATGTGATGTTCACCCATTACTATAATTCCAAACTGGGTATAAATGATCAATGTGATGTTCACCCATTACTATAATTCTTTTACTAGGTACAAA